TTTTGTATTTAGGTAAATTTCGACCAAGCTTAAGTTTACTATAAGAATGAACTTATAACAAGCTGTACTATAGTATAATAATGAACTTATAACAAGCTGTACTGTAGTATGATAATATATTTATAACAAGGCGTACTGTAGTATGAGAATAAACTTAAAACAAGCTGAACTGTAACTGATTCATCAGGTGGAAAACGAAGTTTTATAATAGATATTAAAAAGATGGTAATACCAAAAAATATATTTAAAACGGACGTTTCGGAATTTCCTTAAATTCCATCATTAGCGTTAATATCTCAAAAAATAAGTTAGTGCGTGATATTAGAATTACAAAAAAACAACAACGGCAACATTACCGTCGAGTGAGTTTTCCTATTCAATCGGAAGTTTAGAAAGAACAGATTTAAACGGTAACAATATAATGGAAGGTACGATAAAACGTGGGGCATAAACATGTTTAATAAATCACATTGTTAAGAGAAACTATTATAAAGAAAGGCTTAAATATAAGTATAAACACTGTATCTTTAAAATAATAATATATGTGAAATAAAACACTGAGAATCCAGAATTGATTATATTAATGACAACAGGGATGAGTTGATGTTATTGTTTAGTGTTGGGTGATCATTGAAAATGTAGAGGCTTTCTTTAATAAAGAGTTCGTAATCTGTGGTTTGAGAATAAATTTATAACAAGCTGTACTGTAGTATGAGAGAAATTATGAAGGAAGTTATTTTTTGATGTAAACGTAAACTGAAGCCAGTTACGCGAGTAAGTCTCAAGTAAGATTAGTCCAAGTAAGAGGAGATGATCCCGAGCAAATTACATCTAGCATAGAATAATATCTCAAGCTTGTTTCATCTCAGTGTGAGAGTAAATCTCCAAGAAATTAAGACTGAAAGTGAGAGTAAATTTCAAACTTTAAATACGATCGCTAATGGTGACCTGAACCGTTAGACTTTTGGGTTTTATCCTCAGAATTATGTAGACGGTTAATTATATTAAAGAAACTCTAATATTCATATCTTCAATTCAAATAACAATCAACGCCGATGTAGAGTCGTTGTTGAACGGCGTGTATGAGAACCATATTTTCATATTGTTTGGCGTCGTGTAGGTAGTGTAATGCCTGAGAAAATTGGCCGCTTTAGGGAAATGTATGTAATGTTTCCGACGCAAAATATTCAAACGCTAAAGTCATAGACATGTGTTCAGATCGGGGATTTAGAATTTCTAAGAAGAAAAGCAAAGGAATGTTGATGAAATTGGGGAACAAGGACTATTCAAATAAGTTACACCCCAGCTGCCGTAAGCGCCTTGTAACTGTTGGGAATCCACGAACATAAATATTAATAGCTAAAGCCGTCCAGGTAATAATAGGTAACATAATCATGAATGATCTTCGTCTAGAAAAGCGACACGAGTCACGTGTACTCAAGATGTTTCTTCGTCATATCATTTTAACCTTCACATACTTGAAGTAGCTGGCGAATGAAACTGTATTCATGTTGTTCCATAGACATATTTACTCAGTTGCCTGACTCAGCATCTACAGAATTCTGCGCAATTGGACTGTTGAAACGTACGTTGGGAAATCATGGTCCTCGTACACTAAGTAGAATAGTATGCTTTGCATATACAGCCTTACGGTGAAGCATTTTGCAATAGAAACTGCGCTGCAGAACTATTGGGAGAATGCACTGTCGACATATAGAATATGACCGGACAAGGCGATATGATGAGCCTCCATGTTGCTTTAATATAACTTACCCAACCTCTGTATTCTATACTTTCTGAAGTTTTGCAAAAGTTATATGATTCTATATTGTTTTATATGCTTATTTAGCAGAATAACGAAGGTGAGTTCAATATCTTTTGTTTGTAGACTAAAGTAAGAAAGAAATAATGATTTACCTAAGTTCTTTTAAATACAGAGGATATGAATACTGTTTAGGGTTAAATCCTATGTCGTGATTTGGTATGTTAATATTATTTGATTTTTCAAGTTTAACATTTTAGATCATCTTATTTTTATTAATTTTA